ATTGAATTCCTAAAAAACAATATTTATAATGAATTTTAATAATTTTTTCGAATTTTTTTAAGCTTTATTCTGACCGATTCACCCGATTCCAGATCCGGATCGCCGATTCGCCGATCGGGATCGGTTTTTTGGAAGCCCTATTCGGGTCACCGATCCGTTTTTTAAACCATTGGGTACAACAAATCCATTATACCAATTAAAGTTATTTTAGAACAAACCTCGACACAAAACCCAAGTCGATCAAACCCTTTTAAACCTACTCTTCCAAATGGAAGAGGGCCGATCTCTCATCTCTATTCCATAACTAAACCTTATCTAAGAAGAGAACAACTTTGAGAGCAAACGAGACTTTATCTTACGGGAAACAACCAAAAATCTCTGTGGGAATCGTTTCTCTACAAGAAACCAACCCCTCGCTCTGCAGGAGGGGTCATCAATATTTCTCTTCATAATAAGCTCTTTCTCTAAGAGGAAAATGCATCTTATGCCCTAGGCGCTTGATCTCTCTCTCTCTCTTTAGAGGAACCACCATTCCGATATGGTAACACAAATAGAGTACACAAATTCTCTACATTGTCATCCCATATATATATATATAAAGTTAGGAATCGATACTAAATATGAAACTTCATATAGATCTTACATATATCTCAAAAGGCAAGAGATATATCAAAGAGTCCTAATCGTTTTTGGATTTCTATTTTCCTTAAGAAACTAATCAATATCAATATCAATTCCACATAATATGGGAATATATCAATCTTACATAATATGGATCGATCATAATCAATCCCACATAATATGGGAATATATCGATCCTACATAATATGGATCGATCATAATCAATCCCACATAATATGGGAATATATCGATCCTACATAATATGGATCGATCTTAATCAATCCTACATAATATGGGAATATATCAATCCTACATAATATAGATCGATCTTAATCAATCCCATAAAATACGAGATATTCTTATGTGAGTGATTTTAGATAGCATCAAATCCAACAATCTCCACCTTAATATTAAAATCGTCTGCTCACCATACCAACATCCATTGGATAGCTTTATGGATTCTTCATCTTTTGCAAAATAAATTTCTTCATCATTCTTGCTAAAAAAATAGTGTTTGCCATCAAATTTCTCCACCTCGAACTTTGCATTCGAAATATTTACTATCATACTGATAACCCAAAACTAGGGTTTGATACCGCTTGTTGTGAGTAGAAGCTCTAAACCTGATAAGTTAATATTTGGCAAATAAAGTATGAGAAATAAATCATGAAATACATACAACAAGAATACAAAGATTTACGTAATTCACCATAAAAAGGCTACATCCACGGGCACGGCAAACAAAAATCCACTATACCACTGAAAGTTACATCAAAGATTTTAGAACAAACCTCGACAAAAAACCCAAGTCGAGCAAATCTTTTTAAATCTGCTCTCCCAAACGGCACAATGCGGACCTCTCATCTTTATTCTATAATCAAACCGTTGTCTAGGAATATAACAACTTTAGGAGCAAACGAGACTTTATCTCACTAAAAGGGAAAACAACCCAAAATCTCCATGGAACCGCTTCTCTACAAGAAACCAATCTATCACTCAGAAGCACTATCAATGTTTCTCTCAAAAGCACTATCAATGTTTCTCTTTATATGAAGCTCTCTTATCTAAGAGGAAATTGCATCTTATGCACAGGATGTGCTATCTCCATCTCTCTCTAGAAGAATCACCATTTCCATATGGTGACCCAAATAGGGCACACAAATTCTATGTACTTTCATCATATATATATAAAGTTATGAATCTATACTAAATAGAAAACTTCATATAAATCTTACATATATCTCAAAAGATCAAGAAATATATCTAAGAGTTTTAATTCTTTTTCGATTTCTATTTCTTTTAAAAAACTTATAAATATAAATCTCAATCCCACTGGGAATATCTCAATCCTACATAAGATAAATCAATATTAATTAATCCCACAAAATATGAGATTTCTTTTTGTGGGTGATTTTGGTTAGCACCAAATCCATCAATGCTCGGGAGGAAGATATCTCTATGTGGCGTTTTAGGGAGAGAGGGAGATCTTCACGTCGTGTTTTAGAGAGGGAAAAAGTTTATATAAGGTTGTAGCCTTATAATATAGAGCTACGGATGCACCTCAAAAATCCATCGGAAAAATGTTGTTTTAATGTTACGATACCCTTTGATTAATCATCTCGACATCGAGATGTATGACCATGAAAGATAAAAAAATTTTAAGTCTAAAAAATAATGCATTTTACAACATATTATCTACACCGTCCATTTTCAAGATTTTCATATGTTTATAGAACTATTTGATTTTAACCATTTTTGAAATGTAAAATTTTATAATTAGATATGAAAATAGATTTTGAGATAATCTTAAAAACATTTTACATCAAAATTATTTACCATGATAAAATTTGAAGGCGTACCTTACCTCTACAGTTACATATGCATCCGTATGCCAACTGCACCTTTTAGAGAGAGAGCTTCTCTTTTGACTCATCAAGTTTAGGCCAGTCCTAGGGCCCACAATATAGTTAGTATTGTTGGC